GAGTTATTATGAAAAACATTTATTTTTGGAAAAAATTTACCACCTTGTATCTAAAAAGTTAAGATGTTTAGGACATACACTTATACGAAGTTTTTTCTTAGAATAGGTTTAAGAATTGCCCCATTAATTATTCACAAAAATTTTTAACTTTTATTGCAAGATCATAAACAGAGAATAAGTATAATTCCATTAACTTTCTTTAACTGTCTATCTAGGACATTGTCTTCATAGTTTACATAAACAACTATAATGAGTTTGAATCACTTACAAAGTGACAGAAAATAGTAAAAGCTAAAGACAGACTAGAGTCGCCATCTTTTGGAATGCGCACGTAACATACTCTGTTTATAGTATATTTTCTTTAGTTAATGTTGTTTAATGAAGACCGGTGTACTGTAGATGGCTAAAGAATGTTTATTTGAAAGAAAACTTTATACTTAGTAGAGCACTTACTACACTTTTGTAGCTGTATTTTAGCAATAATGCTCAGTTTTACTTTTATATGAAATAGTAAGCTTTTCTTAATCTTTATAAGTTATAATTTAAAAAACATAAATCTTTATAACCGATTTAATTTTTTGGTGTTATTATATCGTAGGATCGAAAAAAAAACAGCGTCAGCGATGGCTATGAAATGAAGATCGCTGTCATTTTATATGTAAGTGTATCTCCCAGCCATCTGGACGCTTTTTAGTAGAAACGCCCCAAGTAGAATAAATGCTAATATCAACTCTAACATACCTACATTTTATTCCAATTTAATGAAGTTTAGAGAGATTTTCAAACAGAAATTACCTAGGAAAGAAATTTATAAATAAGATAAAATGCGGTATAAAATAAAACTGTAACGAAATTTTATACATTCAGGGTGAGTCTTAAATAAATGCAAATATTTTCAGGGGTGGTATATTTCGATCCCAGAAACACGTCTATTAGTTTTTTTTCGCTAAAAAAAGATGTCGAAAATCGTGCATTTTCTTTTAAATTTCTCTGTATATTTTTCGAACTTTTTTTTTAATAACTCAATTATTAATTATTGTTATTAATATTATTATTATTAATAAACAAAGCTAAACTGATATGTTTAGCATCCGTACCCTAGAAATAAACGCAATATCGTAATTTTTATACTTTTAATAATTTTTAACCTGCTTTAAGTGACGCCACTGACTGTGTCTAGTGGAATAAACAAAAGAAGCAATATAAATTAATATATTATAATAATTTATGTTGAGCAACGAACAAAATATTAATCATTAAATCGTTTACCGGTGAGTAGATCTTTTATTACAATAGGTACCTACACTAACTACATGGCTTCGGTTTTATATTTTTGTTTTTTAATGTAATATTTGCTTCTTTGTAGCATAAAAAAATGAAAAAATATAAATATAAAATAACGGTAGCAGTATCCTCTAGAGAGCTTAATAGATTGGAAAAAATGTTGTATCTGTCAGATTGGTGGTGGAAAAACTGTCCTGCAAATAATCCAGTTGTTTCGCTTCGAAATAAGGGATATGGTACTTTAGCTTCTAATTTACTACTTTTAACTAATTACAATCACGTACTTCCATCTGGAATGCAAATTAATTGTCTGAAAGGGGAAGAAGAAGTTGAGCAAACAACAATCGAAAAAAAAGCACTGTAGCACAAAGCATGCAACTTAAAATACGTTTCACCAAAATTTGACATACTCCTCTCTTGATTATGTAAATCTAATGAGGCAGCATGTTGCTATGAGTCTCAAGAACAATCTCAGGCATATATTTCACAACAAAGGGGGGGGGATAATTCTGATCGAGCAACAAGATCAACTGCACCATTGGTAAATGTAAAAAAATATTTCATATGCACTGAATGAAGATGCTTCAGTGCATATGAAGTTTCATATGCACTGAACCAGGTAATAAAAAAAATGTTTTACATTTGTGTGCTACTGAGACAATTTGCAGATGGACGAATAATCATGCACGTTAAAGACATGATTATTAACGGAGCCAAATCGAACTGTTAATTCGTTGTGCTGACAGTGACATTTTGGTTTTAGCTATATCTTTTTTCCTCAATTTAAACGCCTAGGCCTAGAAAACTTCTGATTGCTCTATAGCTCTCCAAAAAATTTGCGATACATTTCTGTTCACTGTATTATGGAAGTTCTTGGTGACAGAAAATCAGAAGCTCTACGCGGCTTTCATGCCTTCTCTGGATGTGACACTGTGTCTTTTCTGTCATCAAAGGGCAAACGGTCGGCTTGGAAAACTTGGACAACAGCGGCTTTCCTTGCAATATCTTTCTCCCGCGAGAAGTTAGAAGATAATGTGCTTCAAGAACTGGAAAATATGTGGTACGCCTATATGTATAATGTTCAGTCTACTAATAGCATAACTATGGCCAGGAAACACTTGTTTGCAACTGAAAATAGGCCACTTACGGCTATACCACCAACTCGAGCTGCTCTACATGAACACACATACCAGGCGGGTCATATTTGAGGTAGAACTGACCAAATATATCAAGATGATCTACCTGCTCCAATTAGCTGGGGATGGATGGAGGTCGAAAATGGGTACCACTGTGGTCGAAAAAAGCCCAAGTTTGGGAGTCATGCAGGTCACTCGATACGTGTGGGTGTCACACGCAATGTGAAACAATGTGGTGTTCCTGCAAAAAACATGACTTACCTTGTACAATCGCCTGCAAGAACTGCAAGTGAGAATGCAGTAATAGGAGGTAAACGATTCTGAAGAAAGTAAAAGTTATAATAAAACTATTTTTTGTTGCAGCTCGAGATTTCAATGAATTTTAAATACCGTTTAAGAAGCCAGCTTATACTTGTTTTTTTATTGTTATTACGTAACTATAAACAAACTAATTAAGATTAAATATAAACTTTTTTTTTGTTTAACTTAGTCCTAGTTTCTAGTAGTGTAGTATTGCCCAAATTGGTATAAAGAATCCTTGACGGCGCATCCAATGGGGGGGGGGGATAACATTCCTTCTCCCCCCATGGGTGTGCCCATAGTCTTGTCACAAATTTAATTACATTTTTCGTACCAAAACTTACAAAAATATCCATCATTTTGGTCAAGATACGGTAAATATGTTAAAAAATGAAATTTTGACACTTAAATCAAATATTACAGCCGTAGAGCCTAAACGCTAAGTTATACAAAATTGGCGTATTTTTTTTTGAAATCTTCATGTTCGAATTAGTCAAAAAAGACACGGAAATTAAAAAAAAATATTGAAATAAATTTGTGAAAAATTTTAACCTCTTAAAAAATAAGTAAGGGTTGCAACCCTACCTCAAAGGGTGAAATTTTAGGTGCTGCGGGTAAAATAGCTTAAAATGACCTATTAAATGCACACATAATTTCTTTCATAAAAAATTTATAATTATTTTATATTATACTGAAAAATAGGCCATATTATTAATTATTATTGATCTTTTAATACAAGTTAAATTCATTGTAACACGTTTCCATATTTATAAATAAGATATTAAGCCATTAAGTCAATATTTGAAACGCAATGTGTATTCTGAAAATACGAATCTTTATAGGGGTTACTGTCTGTATAAATTAATTTAACATATTTAAGTTAATATTTTAGTGTTTAATGTAATTTACTTTTGAACTTCATTAGTTTTCACACTGCCACATTAGTACTTTTTAGTAAAATCATTTTAATAGTATATTTAAAAAAGAGATATATTTTTTATTTTAATTGCTTTAAATTAAGTCTGGCTCCTTTGAATAAGAAGATTATGGAAGGAGCATATCAAAAATCTTAGGTCCACCGCGATGGGCCTCAAATATGGCCGACTTAAATTCCGGTTTATCAGTGCCGTTCTAATTTTATTTAAAAAATGTAAAACTATGATGTAGGGTAGACGTGGGGTAGACTCAATATTTTTTTTTTATTTTACGTTGTGAATAAATGTTGGTAGTTATTAAAATTGTTATAAAAATATAAAATTCTAACAAAAATAGATAAGTTATAACCTTATAATAATTATTTATTGCCGAGATCTACCGCACGCTACACAACCAACTATTTTAGCGTCTTTTTCGATAAATCGCGATAGCGTCACTGTTAATTTGAGTTCTGCCACAATTTCCATCTAGATTTACTACCTTTATACAACGATCAGTAGTAGAATAAATAATAAATAACATAAAATAAGCTCCGTAAAGACTGACAAATCCACAAAATTTCAAATCAAATTCAAATGTGTCAAATGAATCGTCAAACAGAACTGTCAAGGATCCCCACCCTAGAGTCCTTTTTCCGCCCACCATGCATGAATACATGGACAGCATTATGCTCCTTCCTTAGTCTTCTTATTCAAAGTCTGGCTCTGATCGTATTCTTATCATTTTTATGTTTAGAATAATAACCAATTGTTATTTTTATGTTATACAGGGTGTTTCAAAAAACATGTGCCATCTCTCGTGGGGAGATTCCTCACGTAAAAATAAGATTTAATTTCACATCAACATATGTATGTCCAATTCTGCTTTGTTTCGTAGCTACAGGGTGTTAAAGACTTAATATTTTTTCGATTTATTATAATTTTCTTCCAAGTACTTTTAGCGTTTCAAATTACATTTCTAGGGTAAAAGCTCGGGTAAAAGTTACTATAAATGCGACATATTTTAAAGCTAGAAAAGTGCCGACATATTCACCAGGGACGTGCAAACCAAACCAAACTTTTACCCTCAAAATTTAATTTATACTTGGAAGAAAATTATAATAAATCGAAAGATTATTAAGACTTTAACACCCTGTAGCTACGAAACAAAGCAGAACCGGAACTATGTTGATATGAAAAATAAATCTTATTTTTACGTGAAGAATCTTCCCACAAGAGATGGCACATCTTTCTTGAAACGCCATGTATACATTATTTTGCAAAATTTACAAGAGAGAAACTATACGTTTGTTGAATAATTTCAAAAAAAAATTAAACGAAGTATTTTGTTGAATTATATTACAAATATAGGTACAGTTGTTTACAAAGCATTCACTCGATATATGAGCATTTCTTCATTCAAAATACATAACACATTCTAAAATCGATACGAAGGTCTAGACGGTCTGGAGAAACCCCCTTGTCCTTGGAAAGGATTAGGCCTGTACTGCCCCTGAGGCTGAGCGCCTTGACCTTGCGAAATCTGCACCAGAGACTTTTGAATTTCAGCAGGAATTGGTGGCGGTGTGGGAATATGGGAGCCTTCTGCCCTGAAGCCGTTTTCATCAGCGATCCAGTTTACCGTGATTGGTGTGCCTGAAAAATGGGAATTATTAACAAAGCTACTGAATTGTAAAAAAGTGTTTTGTACCATCAGGCGCGGTATAAGAGTAGGAGCCCTGGATAACTTCAGCCTCGGCATCTTTCTGACCTTGGTTCTTCAGGTAGCCTTGAGCTTGAGCCTGTGAACCATCTCCAGAAACGTAGCTACACAAAGAAAAATAATTTTATTGGAATTTATCATTTATTTGAGATTATAAAAAACAACTACCTAAGTTATTTTATTTATTTACGACCTTTTTCGGCAGAGGACGGCCCACGGTGGGGTATTAGCAGGAAAAAGGTGATCGAAATTCGAAAAAGCAAATGTGTTTAAGATTTCCCACAAAAAGATAAATGATAAGTTAAATCATGTCTGCCATGAATGGCGTTGCTATGGGTGTGTTTAGTTGCATTCGTTTGTTTCAACGAAACGTCAAAGTTGTTACTTCTCACAGATAAGAGGTAAATGGCTAAATTTTATGTTTAAAATTATAAATTGTTGTTGTTCTTGTGCTCTTTTTACGTTTATATTATTGTTTTGATTGAAAATGGCTCAGCAAGCTGCAGGTATGTATTCTACATAAACGTATTATTTATTTTGATATTCTCTATACTAACGATTTTTTTTCAACAAAAGTTAGGCGTTCAGAAAATTTGATTAAATTTGTGACATTTTTATTATACTTAGAGATTTAGTTGCGCATTTCGAAGAATTCAGCATATTGTCTATATACGTTTTACTTAGTAAACATTGGGCTTTCATACAGTAAAATAAAATACTGCGACTTTTTGCTATTTTGCAGATAAAATGAGAAAAACATTCTTGGTTTCCTCTAATTTGCCAATCAGTGATATACTAATGCGAGGTGTAAACCGCGATGGCATTGTTGTGTACAAAGCGATCGCATTAGTGCCATTAGCTGTATAGCACAATTTGACATTAGTAGCGACTTTAGTGGTATGGGCATTGCTCGCGGATCAGTCGTAGCATTAGTAGTATTAGTTGCGATATTACTACTGGCATTAGTGGCATTGACCGTGGAAACACTGTAACAGTGATTTTTCTTTCTTTTTTTAGAATCGACGAATTATCCTTTATTTTGTTCATATTATTTCCTCTTTAATTGAAAATAGCAATAATTTATGTAAGGTCTACATAAAAAAATTTCGGTCAACTACCTGTGTCAAATACCCCACTGTGCGGCCCCTTGATATTGGAAAAAAAAGTTTGTCTATATTTGCTTGAACCATTTTTTAATTATTTTGCATATAATTAAAAAACACACTAATTAAAAAACTCACGAAAATATAGACAAACCATATACTATATTAGCAATCGGAAGAAAAAGATCTTTTAACAAAATTTACACGATTTAACACAACTACAGTCTTAAATATACAAGGCGTTCCATTAAAAAAAACGAAGCTGATGAGCTAGCTAATGAACTAGCTAGCTGACACGTTTCTTAACTTTCTGAGCGTCATTTGTTTGTTTTTACTTAACTTCTTTAAGATTTCGACAGACGAAATCCAGGTAAACTTTTTTACTCCCTCCGATAGGTAAGCCTGCAGGTATCGCACCATATATATCTCAGAAAGCTATACATACAGTGAAAATATTTTTTAAGAAACCTAAGATTACTTAATAAATTTATTATATTATTACCTGTAGCTGAATGATCCATCAGGATTCAGTTCATTTGATTCGGAAACGATAGGAATAATTGGTTTGTTACTGTAGCTCTGCTGATTCTGAGGTTGTTGTGGCCTGTAAAAATTTTGTGGAGCAGCTAAAGCTGTAGCAAAAATGCAGCCTAGTATGATCTATAATAAAATAATAGTAAAAAAATTATCTTTCACTAATAAAATATTAATAAAAACAATAATATTAAGAATTATAAAAAATAAAATAATAATAAAAATTGTTAGACAACAATAACCAAATTAAAAATAAAAATAAAAAAGTTAATTTATAGAAAAGTCAAGTTAAACTTATTATTATGCTAAAATAAATTTTCTTCCTTGTTTATAAAAGTACAAAACTTTGAAGAAAATCAGATTTTCACATATAACTGGTTTTCCATCAAAATAACCAGACATTTGGATAGTTCATAATATATTCAACTAGTTTATAAACTAGTTAAGTAAACACTTTAACTTGATTAGTTATTATCACTTCTGAGAAATATATACTAATTAATTAAGGTTTAGTTATAATAACCCGGGCGAAAAATAATTAGTAAAATAAATTCGAAAATTCCAGTCTTAAAAAATTTCACTGTTCACTAAAACCAAAACTGAATAATACACACCACAATCATCATAATTTCAAAATATTAAAACTGTTTTATTTTACACCCAACTGAAGCACACCGAATTTTGTGATGCTACAAAAGATGGGCATGTAGATTTATATAGAAGCCCCCCATTTGACCCATCGTGGATGGATCATCTCTCTTATTGACACACCCTTCCCAAAGTTATGCATCCATTAAAGAAGATCTATGCGCAAGGACACATCAAATTTTCTGTTTTAATGGGTATAATGGGTAGGTGAGACTCGGATCCGTACCATCGCGCCAAACGACGGTACCATTATGCAATGTTACACCTGTTTTATTTTTTCGGTATTGCAATTTTTGAAGAGATTGGTATCTTTAGGACGGAAATGTTAGTGTGTTTAAAAATTTCTGTCTATTCATGGATGTTGAATCTTAAAAAAAAAAGAATAGTAGTATATGCAAAAGATATTTAAAAAAAATGGCATATTAAAATATACAGGCTTGTTCACTCCTACATTCGACACGGAGTATTGTAGCCACACGATTAAATTTTTAGAAATTGTGAGTGGTGGCATTGTTGGAGGACTACTAAGCTCCAATTTAAAATTATTTTCAAAACGTACAGACTGTAGGTACCAAATAAATAAAAAATATCAAAGTTCTATTTTTAATATAATACGCTGTATATTATAACATTTTTAGTTTCTACGATTAAAATAAAGGTAAATTTGATAAAGGTTTACCACACTTTAATCTTACCGTTATTGCAATATTTACGTTTTTGTGAAAATACAGAAACAATTTTAATGCTTCATTTCTCTAAGTGTATTTAAGTTTTTAAAACCAAATATCGTACTGAAGTTTTTCTATTTACTAAATTTTGTGTTGCAATAATAAAAATAATACTACCTTATACCAGTGGCGCATATATGGGAGGGGTAATGGAGGTAATTACCCCTCCCGGGAAGTAATTTAAAAGTAAGATAAAATGTGGCATAAGATAAAATGTCATAAAAGAAATTAATAATACCAATCAAAATAGAAAATGTATGTCAATCCAAGTTTATTTTTTTCCACACTCACAAAACTTTTCATCGTAAATTTAATTTAAAGCTAGTAGTATTTTACTTCAATATTGCCCTCCCAGACTCAATCTCTAGATGCGCCACTGCCTTATACAAAGTGTCTAAAAATTTAGTTAAATAATTACTAGCTTTAAACAACATTATTAATTATGACATTAATATTACTAATTATTAACATTATTTAATTTAAATATAACACCCTGTATATTTTACGAGAATCAGTGCACAGATGCACAGTTTATTTGTCTATCAAATTGTATTATACGATTTTTTACCTATCTTTTCAAGTTTTCATGCATTATTTTTAAAGATTAACAAATTTTCAAAGAGTACAGATGCTAATATGTTGATCTCAGTATTCGAACTATATTAATTGACTGTTTGCGTTGATTAATAATAACTGCTCCTAATACTAAAAAACTGATTTTTTTTCAAACGTTACAGAAGTATTCATTTTTGCGACGTGATTGACAATATAAAAAAGTAATTTTATTTATTTTTTTCTTGTGCAATTTTTTTTTTTTTGATTTTCTAAAAAGTTATGGCAGGAAAAAATAAAAAAATCGTTTAATCCAAAAAACCCTTTCCAATCAAACAATCCAAAAAACTTTTTTCATGGCGTCTTGGTGAAATCCCAAGGCGCAACTTTGCCCCAATTTAAGCATCTTCGTATCTATTACGGTTTCCGAGATACCAATGCTCGTACCCCGAATTTGCAGCACCCTGTATAGATATTTCTGACGACTTTCTAAGTTGCTAATTGTAATTTTAAACTTTTCTTTAATTATTTTTGCATCATTAATTTATATCTTAATTTAGATTTTAAAACCAACATTTTAGCTCTTGGCAAGCATAAATATTTTACTTATATTAAGGACATTTTTATACAGAGTGCTGAAATCAAGATCAAACCAAACCAAAGACTTATCTTAAAAAAATCGCTACAAAAAGCCCTGAAAATAAAACATAATTAAATCATAATCATCAAGCAAAAAATTAATTCAAACTGCATTGCATTTCTTACTGCACTACACAGAAATCAATAAAGTTTGGGAGGCAATATACAGGGTGTTTCAAAAAACATATGCCATCTCTCGTGGGGAGATTCCTCACGTAAAAATAAGATTTTTGTTTCGTAGCTACAGGGTGTTAAAGTCTTAATATTTTTTCGATTTATTATAATTTTCTTCCAAGTACTTTTAGCGTTTAGAATGAAATTTTGAGGGTAAAAGTTTACTATAAATACTATAAATGCGACATATTTTAATGCTAAAAAAGCGTCGATATATTCACCAGGGACGTGCATATGGGTTATCACTGGAATATTTTTCTAAAAAAAGTTATGTACGCCACTGACTTTTTTTCGCTTGTTGGCGAAATAGTGTAAAAAATTTTATGCCGATTGAAAGTTGTCGATATTTTGTCAATTTCAGCCTCCTTCATGAGATAAACGCAATCTTATTAATTTGTCTTGATCAAGTCGAATAGCAACCTTTAAAACATTTTAATATCATTAACTTGCAAAAGTTTTAAATAAGTACTTTGATTCTTCATCAAAAAATATGAAAAAAAGTTCATATAAACATGGGTATGGAAATGCATAGTTTTAGAGTTACAGGATGTTAAATTTTTTTTAAATTATAGGTTTTGTGTATAATTATCTTAAATACTATTATTTTTTTATTTTAAATTACTCTAGGTTGGACTAATAGTAATAATAACTAATGGTAATAACATTTAATAATAAATTAGGTAAAATATATAATTTATTAATTTTATTTTTATATTAATTTTATTAATTGTGATTCATCAAGGAGGCTGATATCGACAAAATATCAAGAGACAACTTTTAATCGGCATTAAACTGCTTACACTATTTCGCTAACAAAAGAAAAAAAGAGTCAGTGGCGTACATGCTTTTTTTAGAAAAATATTCCAGTGAAAACCCATATGCACGTCCCTGGTGAATATGTCGACACTTTTTTAACTTTGAAATATGTCGCATTTTTAGAAACTTTTACTCTCAAAATTTCATTCGAAACGCTAAAAGTACTTGGAAGAAAATTATAATAAATCGAAAAAATATTAAGATTTTAACACCTTTGTTTCGTAGCTACACGAAACAAAGCAGAATCGGACATAAATCTTATTTTTACGTGAGGAATCTCCCCACGAGAGATGGCACATGTTTTTTAAAACACCCTGTATAAATAACAAGTGTTTACAGCTTCTTGACCACTCGGTATTTTATAAATTATATCAAAGATACCTCGAATTCATGAAATATATTAAATACGTGCGTCTTATTATTTAATAAAATTCATTACCGCATCTTATCGGTTTGGTATTCGATAATGACTTTGACAATTAATATCAAACCTGCTGTAAGTGAAAACGTAAAAATATTTCAATTGTTATAGCAAAATTAACATACAAAAGTCAATTTATCACACAACAATTATTCCAAACTCGTACATTAAAAGTATTCATAATCCCTTCTTACAAATACAATAACAAATAATTTACAATTTTTGTCATTTTCGTATGATTTACTATGGGCAACATTAGTGTAATTATTAAAAATAAATTGTTGTCGTTCTATTGTATTTTTTGTACTAAATCAAATGGAACACTCTGTTATTAAAACAGTTATTATCCAACCTTATAGTTGATTAAAATTGTTTTATGTCTAACGTAATAACAGTTTTATTTAGTAAATTTCAATTTTTTAAGATCAGCATCAGATAAGAATATAAAAGCAAGGGTTGCATCTATACAACAATAAATTATAATATTTAATTTGTCCACTTCTACATAGTCCCGCATGTTGAAGTAAGGGAGACGAGAATACAATGGGTTGCCCCCTGGTGCCCCAAGGTTGAGACCAGTAGACGCAAATCTATCTACTATCTAGCCACGCCATCCATTTGACCTGGTCCCGCCATCATAGGATTTAGGTTTTTGGTGAAGTTGTCTACTCTTGTTCCGGAAGAATGAAATCGGAATGATATTACCATAGAAACACCTTTTAATTTTTAGGATAGACTAAAATTCAATTATATTTTCATGTTTTTTTTAATCTTCTCTAAAACCGTATGAAATTTTGGAAAAGTGTAAACGGTATTAACCATTTTAGAACAAGCAAAATTTTTTATGAAGAATGTATTTTTCTCAAAATATCAATAATAAAAAAGTTTTTCCTCTTGTAAAGACAATCCGGGGACATACTGTAAGTAGTAAGTAGAGAACGCATTAAATAAGAGCTGCATTAAAAAAATAAGCAATCGATTTTTCTAGGTGTCTCTATACAGGGTGAGTTTTTTACGATATTCTCTATGGGTATCTCGAAAAGTACTGGAGATAGGAAGTCGGTTAAATGGGGAAAGAATTGCAGTTTTGTAGTCATAAATATGCGCCTTTGAGACTTTCCAAAAAATTCAGGGCTTAATGGATATTTCGAAAAAAAACTAATCTCGGCTATTTTAAAAATTGTCCCTAATTCCATTATAATCTATTTTAAACAAAAAGTTTTCAGATAATAGTTGTAGATAATCACATCCTGAATGAGATTGTGTTCTCCGTTTTTTTTCTAAAGCCTGTCATTTTTGACATATGACACAAACATATATAGGTTTTTTTAAGCTTTTTAGTGATATAAGCTATAATATCTTTTCTTCGAAAAATTACTGAGTTATAGCCAATTCTTATCATTTTTAAACAATTTCACTTAGTTAGCCATGGAAACAAGTTCAATCGTCGTTGCTTTCAGAAATGTCAAACTGACACATCCAAACTTAGTAAATTAAAATAAACAAAAATTCTAAATATGAATTTTTCAAACAAAAAAAAGCGGTGTAGGATTATTCATTCAACTTTTCTTGACCATACATTTTCGAGGATACGTTGGCCGGTGAACGTTACTTACGCTTTTTAGAGAACGGTTTTTAAGACAATTTTACAGACTAACATGACGTTTATTATGACA